TCCTTCCACTTGCTTGTGTTTATGTTTCCTTCCCATCACCTGGGCCACCATGACTCAGCCCAGCCCAGTGGGTGAGTGAGTAACTGGCTGGGGCTGGAGCCAGGCCCTCAGAACAGACATTTCCCTTCTCAGGCCTCAGCTTTCCCATCTGTGGAACAGACAAGCCCTGCTCTTTTCGCCTCGCTGGGGAAACAGGGCAAAGGCAGGACTGAGCATGTGAAAACGGCAGCGCAGCGCGTGACCCTTGTGCCAGGACGGAAGCCAGGCCCACCTGCTCTCAGTCCCAAGCCAGCCCTGAGCAGAGCTGGGAAGGCGTGCTGGTCCCTGACGACCAACCCAGCAGACTCCCATCTCTCCTGTTTACTTATTATCTTTTAAATTTCTGTTTTTAAAATCTATTGATTTGAGAGAGAGGGAAATGTGAACTTGCTGTTCCACTTATCGATGCATTCATTCATCGGTGGATTCTTGTATGTGCCCTGACTGGGGATCGAACCTGAGACCTTGGCATATTGGTACAATGCCCCAGCCAACTGAACTATGCGGCCAGGGCTCCCCCATCCCTCTTAGGGGAACCCCTACCAACAGGAGCATGGAACGGAGGGAGAGTGGGGTAGTAAGGAAGGCCTTGACCCTCCCCAGACTCCTGCAGGCTGAACTGCCCTGAGGTGGGTAGAGGGGGCACCTGGGGACCCACGGGGGAGGATCAGGAGAAGGAGCGACTCAGCTGAGGTCAGGCAGGGCAGTCCTTCTGGGGTGGGAGAAGCTAGTTCCAGAGGGTGGGGGCAGGGAATGAGGAAGTGCTGTGTCTGGGGCGAGGAGGAGGCAGCAGGAGAAGGTCCGGTGCAGTGAGCTAGGGGCGAGCGTAAAGGAGCCACAGCTGGTCTGGCTACGAACTGAGGCCGTAGGGAACAGGTCTGATGATTGAGGTCCGAAGCCCCTGGTCTACCACAGCCAGTCACTGGTCAGGCCTGCTTCAAAGGGTTTTGAAGCCAGAACTTGGCTCAGTGAGAAAGTGCTGTGATTGACTAGTAATGTCTGCCAGGGACAAAGCACCACAGCCTAGTGAACATTAGCCCTGTTTTCCATGTTCTATTTTCTATTTTTAGGCTGGCCCCAGTGGGCTGGGTATGTGGCTGGGAGAGTGGCTGCAGGGACCCATGAGGGGACGTTGGCCAAGGGCCTGCTGCCGCCACCCCGTGGGGAGATGGGGGAAGGAGGAATTATGTCGGCCCTCTGAGGTCCCACTCACTGCCCTACACATTGCCTGGCCTGGGGCAGGTGCTCGGGAAAGGCCTGAACACCAGTGGAGGGAGGCTGTCTTCCTCTCCCTCTACCTTCTCTGGTACCTGTGGAGAGTTCCCAGATCTCCCAGGCCCTGGCTGCCATCCTGCCGGGGCTTGTTCTCTGATGTTTCTGGGTGTGACCCTGTCTGCCACTTGCTCCGCAGGACCCCATCTCCCTGTTCTTCCGCCCCATGCACCTGGGCAGCACATGGAGAGGATGAACAGGCACATGGCTCCCTGGCACCCAGGCTGGCAACAGCTTCCCCATGCCATACGGCCACTCCCCAGAGCCTGGCAGCTCCACTGTGTTTCACCCAGAGCTTGTCACCCTGAGACCCCAACACCAGCTAATAGGGCGGAGTGAGCCCGGGAGGGCGGGGGAAGGGGAGCATGGCTCCTGCCTGTCAATAACCACCCTCTGTGGGCACGCCTCCAGAGAGAGCAGCAAGTGCCCAGACACACGGGGTCTGTGCGCATGCACCTATGTGCTGTGCATTTCCACCCTTGAGCACAGCTCTGTGTCTGTGTGTTTCTGTCTACCCGCACATGTCTGCAAGCACCTATGGAGAGACAGGTAGGTCTATGTATTGTGTGTGTCCTCACGTGTGTGTATGGGTGTGTACAGCCAGGGCTCCTGTTCAGGGCAGAGGACACATCAGGCCTTCCACAGTCCACCTGGCCTTTCTCAGATATCACCTGTTCTGACTGCAACCCAGGCAAGCACCTCACCAAAGGGCAGGAAAGAAGCTGTCCCAAGGTTCAGGAGCAAGAAGAATGATTCCTGGTCTGGGCCTGGAGCAGGGCTCTGATGACGTCTCCCCCAGCAAGGTGCAGCTGCCCTGGGCAGAGGCTGGCACCACAGGCTGCAGGGCTCGGCCTGCCCCAGCCCCTGCTCTGCACTCATGGTGGGATGGGAAATAGACTCCTACTGGGCACCTGCCTTCCTGGAAGCTGACACCCTAAGTTTGTGGTAGTATCTCAGCACAGACGGGCAGGGAACTGACAACCCTCCTCCTCTCCTCTTCCTCGGGCAAACGCCACTCAAAACATGGTGGCCCATCTCTAAGAAGTCCCCGGACACCAGCGGGAAAAGGAAAGTCTGCTTCTACTCTTTTTGTGACATAGCTGCTGGGTCACTAAACCACGTAGACACGTGCATGGGGGTGCAGCCCAGTTCACATCTGCTCGGTCCACATCAAATGTCCCACCATCACGGCCACACCTCACCCTGCAGGGACAGCCCCTTCTGGTGGTTCCAGGGCTGGATGTGTGCAGACAGGGAGGGCCACTCCTAACAGGCCTCTGGGTTTGAGCCTGGCTCCTGGGTGAGCCAGGAGGAAACAGATGGCAGGACGGGGAAGGGGCCTGCTGAGCAGGCTCCTCTCCTAGTGGCTGCAGGTGAGAAAGGGTCTGAACCCCCCCACCCCCCTGCAGGAAAGACCACAATCCTGAAAAGGGGGCGTGTCTTTGACCCCAAGGCCCCACGGGGCCCCAGGTTCCCTCATCCAGCATCCTGGAGGGAGGCTCACCATTGCAGGGCAAGGCCCTGGGCAGGAACAGCACTAGCCTCTTGCTGTCTGACCACAGGCAGGTTCCTGCTGTGCTCTAGGCCATGTAAGTCAGAGGGTTCTGTGCCCACCCCAGACCCCGGGCCCCACACACCTAAGGGTGGCTTTCCATGGTCTATTTTACGCATTGTGTCTAGCTGTTTAAGGCTGCAGGAAGGGTTTCACTTGGAACCGCAGGAGATGGGGGCCAGGCTGAGTGCAGAGTGGAGACCAGAGAGCCGCCCCAGCTCACTCGAAGGTGGCAGGGAATCCTTTCCCCTCTCCGGGTATGTGGTTCTTCCTATGTGTGGGGGAGGGGACTGTGGGGGTGCAGGGGAGATTCCAGTTCCGTTGTGCCCCAGCTAGTGAGAGCAGTGGCCAGCTCCTGAGGAAGGATTCCCTGGCCAGCAGGCTCTCTCCCCTGGGGGCGGGGGAAGGTGGGGGGGTTGCTGCTCATGCCTCTTCTTTGAGTACTGCCTCCCTCCCTGACAACCAGCTCCTGGGCTGCCAGCCAAGGGGTCTAGCCTCGGAAAGGCCCCCTCCTAAATCGCAAGGTTCGTGATGGATTGGCTGGGGGCTGTCCAGGCCAGCACTCTCCTACACCTGGGCCACCGACGCCCAGAGAGGTGAGGACCACAGAGCGGGACAGCAAGTGGCAGTGCAGACCCTGGGTCTGGGCCCCTCACCCCTGCAAGCTCTTTCCACGGGTCCCAGGACCCCAGGGACCTAGGCTCTGCCCAGCATCGCCGGGATGCTGTGGTCTTTCTGGGGCTGTGACGGCGGGAGAGACCCCTGCTTCTTTGTGATCCAGCCCTGTGGCCCGGGATGGAACGCTTCAGGTAGACTGTTCTTTGCAGGGAACACGGCTGTCCGGGAGCGGAACTCATCCAGGGCCGCCCTTCTCTGTGCCTTCGGGTCCGCAGAAAGCTCAAGCCCCCCGTGTTGCAGGGACCCCATTCCCTCCAGAGGGAGGTGGAGACGAGGTGTTGGTGAGCCGACTAGCCTTGAGCAGAGTGGGAGGGGTAAGCCCGAAGGAAGTGGGGGCCCTTTGCCGAACAGGGGACGGACTAGACCAACCACCGAGTCCAGCCGCTACCTTCCAGCCTCTGCAAAAAAGCGCGGCAGGCTCTGCGCACGCGCGCCGCTCTAGTCCAGCCGCTTTGTTCCAGCGCTACCTGAGGCTCCATTCACCTCCTCTGCCCCGCCCGCTAGAGAGCGGCTACGGAGACCCAGCCCATTCCCGAGCTGGGTGGAACCCGAGGCGAGCCCCGCCCCCTCCTTTACACTCTTCTTCGGCCGTAATTGGCCATCTGCGCCGCGCACTCCCGCCTATCTCGAAAGCTGATTGGTGCTTTGGGAAGGAGGTAGGAGAAAGAGAGTTGACTGTAAAGGGGAGCTCCTCTGCCCTCCCGCCCCTGTGGAAAAGTCACGTGGCGCTTCACTCCGCGTCTGTCACCACCCAGCTTGAAAAGCTTTCTTAAAGAGCTCCCTCTCTCCTCCCAGGGCTGGTCCTTTCCAGGATTTCTCCACCCCTGCCCACTGTGGGTGGCACGGGCCTGGGCCGTCCTACTCTGCCAGTCGCCCGGGTGCTGATTTCCGATCAGGCTAGGTGGGGTGAGACCTCTCACACAGGTCTCGAAGCCCGTAGCCGTCACAAGCACACTGCAGTCACCTGAAATAGTGACCGCCTAAACACAGTGCTTGGCACGTAGTAAATGGTCAATTTCCTTTTGTTGAATGAACACGCTGAGAAAAATGAATGAATGGGGTGACAGGTAGGAAGAGGGGAGGTGGGCTCAGCGTGACCGCCCAGTCCTCGTGGAACTCTGCTTCTCTTAATGAATGTGGCGAGGGGAGGTCAGGCTCAGAACACTCCCTGTAGCGCCGTTAGAGTCGAGCGACCTAACAGGTTATAGGAGACCCGGGAGGGCGTCTTGACCCGGCCCTCTAGGCGGGTCATATTCAGTTCCAGGAGAGGCGAGACCGCGGCGGCACTGAGTCGGGGCGAAGGCCCGGGCAAACGGGGTCGGGAGCGCGCCCTCGTTTCCCGTGGGGAGGGACGGCGGAAGCGCGGCTCCTTTAAGCCGGGGCGCCGGCCCCGCAGCCCCGCCCCCTGGAGGACGCCTCAGCGCGCGGCTGCCCGAGCCGCCGTTTAATTGGGGCTGTCAGGCCGCGGCGCGCGCGGAGGGCCGGGCGGGACGGAGGCCGGGAGGCCGGGGCGGCGGGTACGCAGCTCGGCGGGAGGCGGGCGCCCGGAGACGCGGCTGGGGCCCGCGCGGCCGGGGCACTGTCCCTGGACAGGGCTGCCCGGCCCCGGCCCCGGGCCACCCGCACTCCCCATGAAAAACCAGCTCCGCGGCCCCCCAGCGCGGGCGCACATGTCGGCCTCGGGGACGTCGGCGGCTGGGGACACCGGGGCGGGGTCCGAGCCCGGTGCGGGGTCTGGCGCGGGCACCGGGACAGGCACAACGACGGGTGCGGGAGCCATGCCGTGCAAGAGCGCCGAGTGGCTGCAGGAGGAGCTGGAGGTGCGGGGCGGCGCGTCCCTGCTGCTGCTTGACTGCCGGCCGCACGAGCTCTTCGAGTCGTCGCACATCGAGACGGCCATCAACCTGGCCATCCCGGGCCTCATGCTGCGCCGCCTGCGCAAGGGCAACCTGCCCATCCGCTCCATCATCCCTAACCACGCCGACAAGGAGCGCTTCGCCACGCGCTGCAAGGCGGCCACCGTGCTGCTCTACGACGAGGCCACGGCCGAGTGGCAACCAGAGCCTGGCGCTCCCGCCTCAGTGCTTGGCCTGCTCCTGCAAAAGCTGCGCGACGACGGCTGCCAGGCCTACTACCTCCAAGGTGAGGGCAGCACTGAGACCCCGTCCTGGATTAGGGATCCTCTGCGGCTCCCGACGCCTCTGCGAGAGGCCGCTTTCTGTCCGCGCGCCCAGCCTGTCCCTTAGGCGCCACGTCGCCCCCGGCCCACATCCGCCTCTCCCGGGAGCCCTGCCGCAGAGGTTTATCCCGGTCGGGGACCCCCTCTGCATCCCTTTCCGGGTACGATTCCAGAGGGCTGAACAAACTTTTCCCCTTCTGGGCTTTCCTTTTTAACTGTTGCTGGCGCCATGGCAGCGCTCAGCTTCCAGCTGAGCCCCTCAGAGGAGGGAGGGGCCCCTCCTAGGGCACCACCCCCCAAAGGCGACAGGGCACCCAAGTCCAGCTCCTCCAGCCTGGAATGCACGTCCCTGAAAGTCCAGGGTTCAGACAGGATCCTTTCTCAGCACCACCCCCAGGGCATAGGGACTGTTTGAGTTGGGGGACTCTGAGCATTCCCGCATGTATCTCCCTGGTTGGGGATCATCGCCTTTTGGAGGCATGTGGGCCTGGCTGTGAGTAGTATCCTTTGCTCCAGCCCTGGTTTCCCCGGGCCCTGTCCCCAGCCTACTGCTTAGAGCTTGCAAAAGGGGGAGGCAACACTGGGGGGGGGGGTCGAGTGGCTGCAGCCGGTGTTTCCAATTAACATTCCAAAATGGCCTCTCGCTGGCAGCGGGGCGGGCAGGGAAGGGAGGGGCAGGGAGGGGAGGCCTGCGGCACCCTCGGGCGCAGGGCCCATGCTTTGCTGCAAGGCATTCCCCACTTCTTGTCCCTGTAAAGCCCCCAGTGGCCCTCCTACTCCGTGAGTCCCAGGCTTGGAGGGGGAGTCTTGGGTTCTAAGTGGGGGGAATTCTGTGAAGCTGGGGCCTCTTTTATGAACCTGTCCCTGCTGGCTGGGGGAAAGGACCAGCCAATACTCTCACTCTGCTCTTCCTGACTCTGGTTGAGGGTGGGGGACAAGCTGTGGACTCCCGGTCAGGAGGCCATGCCTTCTCTGTCTCTGACCCAGACACACCTCTGGCCTCTGCAGTCTCATCTGTAACAGAGGTTTGCAAACCCACAGGTGCTGGCCTGCGGTGGGATTGTCTGCCTTCCTTTATCACTGAGCCATTATTGGGCACCCCTGGGTGCCAGCTGCACAAAGAAGCTGCGGCAGAGGAATAAGCTAGAGCTTGTCCTCAAGCGCCCTGAGGGCAGTGCTGTGGCTGGGCCCTGAAACCTCATGAGTAATGGCCTGGAGCTCAGGCACGTGACTTCACCTCCTGGGGCCTCAGCTTTCACATCTGTGAAGTGGGTCATTGGATAGATGGGGAGAAAATGGAGAAGGTGCACATGTAATGTACATGGTGTGGCCCATGTTGATGGTTATGGTGCTTGACACTCGGACCCATGGCCACCGTCAGTCTATGGCAGCCCGTTTGGGCCTGGGGCATGGGCCGGTGGCATCAGCAGCCCCTCACCCAGGCCCTGTCTTGCCCCGGCCACAGGTGGTTTCAACAAGTTCCAGACAGAGTACTCAGAGCACTGCGAGACCAACGTGGACAGCTCGTCCTCGCCAAGCAGCTCACCGCCCACTTCCGTGCTGGGCCTGGGGGGCCTGCGCATCAGCTCGGACTGCTCAGATGGCGAGTCCGACCGAGAGCTACCCAGCAGTGCCACTGAGTCTGACGGCAGCCCAGTGCCGTCCAGCCAGCCAGCCTTCCCTGTCCAGATCCTGCCCTACCTCTACCTCGGCTGCGCCAAGGACTCCACCAACCTGGACGTGCTTGGCAAGTACGGCATCAAGTACATCCTCAATGTCACACCCAACCTGCCCAACGCCTTTGAGCACGGCGGCGAGTTCACCTACAAGCAGATCCCCATCTCTGACCACTGGAGCCAGAACCTCTCCCAGTTCTTCCCTGAGGCCATTAGCTTCATCGGTAGGTGTGGCTGTGCTCAGGGTGGGGTGGGTGGGCGTGTCCAGGTGTGTCGTCTTCACTTGACTGGGTACCTCTGGGCCTGTCAAGGCCTGTGTGCGCCCTGCATGTGCCAGCATGTGCCCATGGGTGTACCCGTGCTTGCTGTGAGTCACCAGGCCCTTGGGGTCGAGCAGTCAGCCCCCTGAGTCCTGGGCACGTTGTGGGCTCTACTGTCCAGCTTGGGTTTTCCCGGCTCTGCTGTTTGGGGCTGAGCAAGCTGGAACATCACAGCTCCCAGACCTCCCACGGGCCTTGCTGGCTCTGCATCACGCCTCAGCACACGTGTCTCTTCAGGATGGGCTGTCACGGAGCCCGTTTGGGCTTTACAGTGTACCTGAGGGGGCTGAAGTGTGGCCTGGAGCCAAAGGCCTACTCGAGACAGGCAGCTGTTGGAATGAGGGGCCCCAGAGTGCCTGGTGGGGCCCCAGATGGTCCCCACAGCCGGTGGCGCCTGTTCGGAGTGTAGGGGGGTGCAGAGAGGATGTAGGAGGAGGCTGAGGAAGGCCTCCCCCGGAGCAGCGAGTTCTGCTCTCTGGCTTAGAGCCCTCGGAGCCCCTCCAGCCCTGCCTCAGCTGACTCCGGCTTATCTCTGACCCCCCCACCCTGCTTCCTCCTCAGCCAGCTGGAGGCTCTTGGCCTGCAGGTCATCTTCCCTGGGCTCCCCTTTCACCCAGACGATAGGGAAGGGATACAGGGTGAATGGAGACCGTGGGTTCCTGGAGCCTGGTGTTTCTGCCCAGCCTCCGATGGCAGGGTGGCAGTGGCCAGGGCAGAATCTCCTGCTGGCAGTCCTGTTCCGCGGAGGGCGTTTTGGTGTCAGCTGGGCTGGGCTAGCTTTAATAACAGGAAGTGGGAGGCTTCGCTGCCTCATCCGCTTACTGGGAACCAAAACTAGGTGCCTGGCTGGGAGGGAGGAAGGAAGGAAGCCAAGGCTTGGGGGAGGGGCTGGGGCCAGGGCTGGGGCTGCTGGGAGCTTCCCAGTCCTGAGCAGGAGGACCCGGCCCCTGGGGCTGTGGCCTGCCTCAGTACTGTCCTCTCCCCCAGTGAGGGAGGGGAGTGGAGGGAGATCCCGGATCCCCCAGGGCTGAGCCTGGCTTGTGGGTGTCTTTATCCTTCTTGAAGACCCCTCTACACCTGGGATGGGGACAGAACAGGGTGTAAGGGCAGGGGGAACATTAGTCCCCAGTTGGCAAGTGGAGGACTTGAGGCCCACACATCATAGCACTCAGTGGGACCAGACCCAACACCAGCCCCCCACTGCTCAGCCACACCCTGAGAGAACTAAAAATAAAGCCAGAGGAAGCGGTTTTGCTTTGGATCACACGGGAGTGGGTTTGGGGGCCAGGCGTTGCTGTATCCTGATGTGTCATCACCAGGGGCTCGTTTCTACCACCCGCTTCTGCCCCAGATCTCAAGGTCAGACCACACAGTTCCACTTGAAGCCGCAACATCTGCCTTCCCCTGCTGGTCTCTCCCTGCTTAGTCCCTGAGTCTGGATGAAGCACCTACTGCATGCTAAGTCCTGGGTACCCTCCAGTGGGGACACAGGGGAGGCTCTGCCCGGCGCAGGCGTGAGCACCAGAGGAGGGACCATCTGAGAACCCATGGGTCAGTGTGTAGGAGTACACCAATTGAGTGCCAGCTGTATGCCTGGCTCCCAGAGGGCTCACAGGCAGGGAGGTGGGGACCTGGAGGGCCCAGGGCCACCTCTTGTTAATCCGTGTCCCTCTTGTAGCTGTGGCACAGAGGGAAGGAGAGATGACAAGATGGAGGTGTTGTGGGTCAGCCAGAGCTGTTGAGCTCTACTGTGTGCGAGGCAGAGATCTGGGGGGCCAGGCGGGGCAGGGTCGGCCAAATGGGGTGGGCCTCTGGGCCTGCTGGGGGGACCAGGAAGTGCGGGACTGGGCCCACTTAGGCACACCCCACTTGCGGCAGCCCTGGTGTGGCCCTCGTCCCAGGGCCCGGCTGCTCAGGAGCGGCACTGACTGCTGGGCAGGCCTGGCCATGTCCCCTTGGGGAGGGGGTGCCCGTGGGGCCCCAGGAGGATGAGCTCAGTCCCCACCCCCACATCATGAGCTGGCTATGGTGGGTGCCATGACTTAGGAGAACTGTGTGGCCTTGGGCTTGTCACTTTGCCTCTGTGTCCCTTTCCTCATTTATAAAATCAGCTTACGAGTCATGGTGCAGACGTCCTGAGAGGCTGCCAGGGACACCCTCAGCTCTCAGGCACACACCACCGTAGCAGCGTTAGGACTAGCAGTGGTCGTAGCTGTCACTCGGGTCCCTACAAGACCTCTGGGAATAGAGGGCCCATTCTGTAGATGAGTAGGTGGAAGCACAAGGATGTCCAATGACGGCACTAATGTGGGGTCTCCACAGTCATGCCCTTGACCTTCACTTCAGGGTGCTGTCCCACCCCTGTGGGGGACTTCACCAGGTCTCTCAGGAGTCAGGCAGCACCAGCCAGTGACCCGCCGCCATCTGTGTCCCAACCCTGCCCATGGTTCTTTAGAGGAGGTTCCTCCCTGACCCATGTGTCCCTGACCTGTGTGTTCCAGACGAGGCGCGCTCCAAGAAGTGCGGTGTCCTGGTGCACTGCCTGGCAGGCATCAGCCGCTCGGTGACCGTCACGGTGGCCTACCTGATGCAGAAGATGAACCTGTCACTCAATGATGCCTACGACTTTGTCAAGAGGAAAAAGTCCAACATCTCACCCAATTTCAACTTCATGGGGCAACTGCTGGACTTCGAGCGGACGCTGGGGCTGAGCAGCCCGTGTGACAACCACACCCCCAGTGAGCAGCTCTACTTCTCCACACCCACCAACCACAACCTGTTCCCACTCAACACCCTGGAGTCCACGTGAGGCCAGGGGCACGGGTGGGCAGGGGGCCGGGCCCTCGCAGGAGGCCTGAGGAACCCGGACATCGCCTGTGCCCAGGGGCCCAGGCTGACAGGCGGCTGGGCCGCCCCACCGTCCCAGGGCGGGCAGGCAGAGCCCACAGCCGGCCGCCCTGTGCGGGGCTCCGGAACGGCTCATCCCACCCCCGGGACTCTCCTTCCTGCTGATGCCCGGCCAGTCTGGCGGTTTTTTAAAGACCTCCACGGACCCGAGTTCACTTTTCCTTTTGGCAGGTGAACCCAAGCCTCCTGGAGCACAGACAGTGGTCACAGACAGTGGGCCTCTCAATCTTTTTTTTTTTTAATGAAAAGTGTTATTTTCAGGTGACATGCAACAGTGAATTGTATAAACCAGTATTTCATCCCTTTCTTGATCCTGAGAGAGAGAGAAGTGTTCTCAGTTCTGTTTTTCAAAAAGCAATTACTGTTGGGTTTTTTTTTGTTTGTTTGTTTCCTTTTTTTAATGGGAAAGACAAACCCGGTGTTGATCTTGACCAAATGCGTTTTGCACATGTGTGAAGCCTCTGTGTCTGCAGCAGGCCCTTCTCGGAGGGGTGGCCTGCACCATCTCCTCGTGGGACCTCTGTCGTGCCCAGTCTCCTGGCCCGGCACCGATGTGACCTGCAGTGGCCTGTGGTGACATCTGCAGGTTCTGCCAGGCAGGCCGGACGAGTGGTCTTTGCATTCTCCGCCCTGCCCAGCCCCTCCAGTGGTCCCTGCAGACTCCCCGCGGAGGAGTCGGGAGGCCCTGCAGCTGTCCTGCTGGCGCAGGGCCGCAGGGGGCTGTCAAGCAGCAGCGTTGGCCTTCTGGGCTCGGCCCTTCGGGGGCCCTTCTCTATACAAACCCACTACTTCTGTCTCTTTCTCTGTTTGTTTGTGACTGAGAGTGGAGACGCAGTGTCGGGGGAAGCTCCAGGGGTGGGGGTCCAGCCCTGACCCCCAAGTTTCTCTCCCTCGCCCTGGCTGTTTCTTTGGTTCTGCTGCCACTCCTGGCCCCCTCACCCAGTGGAAGCCTGCCCAGCCGTCCCGTCACCCATGCCTTCTGCCACCAGGACCTTCATCCCCATGCAAGCCCGGGGCAGGCTCAGAGGGCGAAAATGGACCTGCAAGAGGGTGTGAGGCTCTGTCCCCCGCAGCCTGCCGCCAACACCTACAGAACAAAGCCACGGACTCCGTTACCCTCCTCCAGTTGCGTTCCTTCTCCAGCCGCAGCTCTACCAGGCGTCAGGCCTGCGGGGCGGGCGCGGCCGGCCGGGCCCCTGCGCGAGCCGGCGCTCAGCACCGCTGCATCTTACCTCACGGGGTTGTTTTCAGGGATTCTTCCAGGCAGCGGGTCCACACCTTGCCACACTCGAGAAACCGACAAAAGCGTCCGTGCTGTACATGGTTCTCTTTCTCTCTCTTTTTTACTTTCAAAAAAAAAAAAAAAACCCAGAAAGATGCATCCGCTTTGTGTAAATGAGAGTATGCCAAGAGGGCGGCCAGTTTTGCTTTATGATGTGTTATGAAGGAAAATTTGTGACCCTGCTTATGTATACACACACACATATATATATATATATATCCCGGACCAGCAACGGGACTTTGTTTATATTGCAAATAAATATTATTTTTTCTTTAAAGTGAGTTGTGGTGTCCGCCGGGGGCCGGGATGCTGGGGCCCACATCCCAGCACCTGTTCTGTGTGAGGTGGTGCCAAGGGCCTGCCAGGCACCTGCTTTGACCGGTCAGAGGTGCCCACAGCCAGAGGAGCTGCCACCCCTCTTGGTGAAGCTGATGTGGGCGTTCCTCCGGCCCCCAGGCACGCCCAGCCAGGCCACCGGCTTTCTCTGTGGGCTCTGCTGATCGGTGGACAGGAGGAGCTTGGAGAGATTTCATGGACTGAGTTCTCAAGGACAAGCCCCTGCTCACTCAGAGGCACCGAAGGCTGGCTGCTTATACGTCGCCCAGCTCGGGCCCAGGCTGCCGCAGCACTCTGTGCCCCAGAACCCCCGGGACCTGACCTTCCACTGCTCCTGTGCACGGGTAGGGGTGCATATTCATCACCCTCTTCCCCCACCCCTGCAGCCTCTGGGACACCAGAGGGACATGGAACCTGGTCTGGGACAGGTCAGCCTGCTTTGCCCCTTTGGGGCAAGGTGGCCTCCAACAGCCCCCATCCTGAGCCTGTTTCCGTCTGTCAGTGGGGCCAGTTGCACACGCCCACCCAGTGCTTTCCGTGTTCACTTTCTGGTCGGCCTGGGCCTCCCAGGGGGAGCTGGCACCCAAGCGGCCCCTCTGGGGGCTCCTTGCCAGCCCTGGGAGGAGCAGGGAAGGGGCCTGGGGGTGTGAGGCCCCCAGGGGCTGGCAGCCCCGTGTCACAGACGGACTGGGAGGCTCCGGAGGGGCCTTTGGCTCCTTCATCTGTAGTTGGAATGAGTGACCCCAGTCAGGGACTGGGAGGCGTGGGTAGTTTCCCCGTCTCTGCCTCTCGCCTGACTTGATCCTTTCCTCGTGGCCAGCACCAGACTGGCCCCGGAGCGGCAGGTGAGTCAGTAGGCAGGGCTGGAAGGGTGAGGGCCCCCTGGCCCCTTTCCTGGGACTCGCTTGTTGAGCTGTCCAGGCTCTACCTTCTCTGTCCCTGCCCCTCTGCCTGGAGCTACCGGACCACACCAGCCACACCTCTGAGCACAGGAGGCAGGGAGAGGGAAGGGCGGTGAGCAAAGGGACCTAGGTCTGAGTCCCAGCCATGTGGTTGCCGGCCCCTCGCCCCTCCTGCTCAGAAGGGGGAGCCTGCTGTGCAGCCAGCAGGCCTGGGGGAGGAGGGGGTGCTTGCAGTGTTGGCAGAGGGGCCAGGGCTACTTCTGCTCTTGCGCTTCCTGAGGGCCCTGGTCCTTCTGTGCCAGGGGCAAGCAAGGGGGCGGGAGGCTGGGCAGGCAGAGACTGGGCCTTTGTTCCCTCTCACCGCCTTGGGCCAGGGCTGGGGAAGCCCTCCGGCGCCGGCTGGAGCTGAGCCTGGGCGGGCTGAGTAAGTGCCTGGCAGTGCCAGCGTGCCCCAGCACAGAAGGAGGGAGGCAGCCCCAGGAGTGAGGCCACCTTCACAGGGGCCTTGCCAGGCCGGGTGGCCTCTCTGACCCTCGGTGTCCTCACTGTAGAAACCTGCACCTCAGCCCTGTGCCTAGCTGCGGCTCTGGTCGAGTGGGAACAGAGGGCCAGGCTGTGGCTGGAGCTCACTGGGACCTGGGGCTAGGCCACACCTATTCCGGACTGCTGTTCTCTCCCTGGGGCCCAGCTTCTCACTTCTTCGGGGTCCCTCTGGTCTGGCTCATGGTCATCTCCGAGCTTGTGCCCCACTCCTTCTGGCTCTGCTGTTCCCCTGTGCAGCCCAGGACACCTCTGGCTGAGGCCACAGCCATTTCCGGTGCTGGCTGGGCCGGCCCAGGAGTGGGTGCGTGCCTGAGGGAAGCTCAGTGATGTCATGCTGGGGGGCAGGGTCCTCCCTCGTCCTCTGAGAAATGAATCAGGTGCCAAGCAGCGGTGACTAAGCCAGGTACAAGAAGGGGCTTGCAGCACTGCGGGCCAGTCACCTTGCAGGAGGTGATGAAAAGACCACAGAAGATGGGAACACTTCCTTGGGGCGGGCCTGTTTGGAGCCTGGGGGGCAGCCCTTAGGAGAGCCACCACCCCCGAGGCCCCTCCCAGAGCGCAAACACAGCCATCCCTCGTGAAGGGGCAGGTGGGGGCGGGCAGCGGCAGCAAGCCCGAGATGGCCCCGGCCCCTCCCTGGCTGCTGCCACTGCCTGGCACACTCAGGCCTGCCCTGACCCTGTCTGCGCTGGGCTGCCTGTCTGCATCTAGACAGGTGTGGGGGCAACAGCAGCCCCCGCACACAGCCCTTCACCAAAGCCTGATGGGGACCCAGGTGTGTCTGGAGGGAAGATGCCAACATAATCTCTGGGCACCCCAGGAGCCTGGGTAGCATGTTGGGGGGGGGTCTGCCCTTTGACACGTTTACCTTGCTTGTTCTGGGCCTCAGCTGGGCACAGCCCTCTCACTGCCCCCTAGAGGCCTGCCCGATCAGCCCACCCGACTCCCAGTACCCAGCAGACCTGAGTCCAGGGGGTGGTCAGAATCCTCCTGCTCCCCCAGCCCATGATGATGGGAAGAGCGAGGTGCAGAGGGGTGTCACAGGGTGAGACGGCAGAGTGAGGCTTCCCCACATCCTGTCTCCTCCATCAGGCTGGGCCCCTGCCTCAGTCCTGGGAAGGACCAGAGACACATGTGTGGCCATGCACTGCACCCACCCACACAGTGCCCTCATTTCTGAGACAGAACAAGCCCACACAGGTCTCCCAGGGACGGAGGAGCCACCAACCTCTGACTCCAGCCTCCCGTCTCCAGGGTGCAGCCTAAGTGAGGTCACCTCCCCCACAGCATGGCCGTGAAAGACCATCATCACCGAACTCCCGAGGGAAGATGGGCCCTCAGTCCCATTGTCTTTGGCTGGGCCAGGTGAGCCCTGACAGGCCACATGGAATGCTGGCCACCGCCAGAAATTTGCCCAGGCTCAGGCAGCCAGCCCTTCCCTGGAGCTGCCCCGCTGCACACACGCAGGGGCAGACACCTCCCCATCATCCCCTCGGCCCCTCCATGCCCATACTCTCTCCTCTGACCCGGATCCTGCCGCCCCTGCTGCAGGCAAAGGGGCAGCTGAAGCCCCTTCTCTGGGGCTGGACGGTCCAGGGAGAGCCAGGTCATGGTCCAGGGCACAGGGTTGGCTGAGTCTGGCTGTCACTCGAAAGATCCCCTGCTGTTACGTGGAGAATAGACTGAGGGGCAAGGGTGCAGGACAGGGGACAGTCAGGAGGCAAGGATGGTCCCTTCAGGTGGATGGTGAGTACTGGCCTCTGTGGCATGGGAGGGCCAGGAGAGATGAGGACCAGCAGGCCCAGAGCCTCTGGGAAGCGGGGCTTGTGGTGGGAGCAGAGGGCCCCAGCTTGCCTGACTCCCTGTGCGAAGGCCAGACACCAAGCCAAGGAGGACGGTGAGTCTTAGCCAGGGCCTGCGTGAGTTCAGGGTGGCGCCCTGGCCGCCGGTGAGGGAGTCCCCGCTCATCTGCCCCACCCCTCCTATGTACCCACGTGCCAAACACCCAGAGAGAAGCCAGACCACCACAGTCCTCCCTCCTCCCGGAGACTTTCCCAGGAGAGCAGAGCCCAGGTGTCCGCTCTCCGAACCTCGGTTTCCTCATCAGTGCAGTGGGATAAGAACTGTGGCTCCTACAGGAGGAAGAAGGAAGAAGCAGAGGCCTTGGGAGCGGGAATCCTGCTGATGCTCATTTAACTGTGACCGGCCCCTCTGTGGCCAGATGGCCATTGCCGCTTCGCCCCGTGAACTTAGACAAGCCTCCTCCCTCGTGCAGTCCTCAGGTTCCCCATTTGCACAGGCAAGAAGAGCGATGTCCCTGAGCAACGGCCCTGAGCAACCTGGCCCCCAGATGGAGGGCCTGGCTCTGTCGCAAGGGTTGGACAGCCTGGCATGGCGTAGCCCGGGAGCCAGTGCTGCCTGAGCGGAGGAGGCTGGGGTCAAGGGCTGGGGGCCTGGCTAGGGGTGGGGGCAGGCACGGCCCCCTGAGGACATTTGTCCTTGCATTGCCTGCCCAGGGAACTGCCCCGTAGGGGCCCTTGTTCTCGAGGCTCAGAGAAATTTAGAGCCCTGACAAGCCAGAGGCCCTCAGGCAAGCCCTGGCCCCTGGTCACAGTGGCGCCAGCTACCCTTCTATGCTGCTGGCCCCTGTCTGGGGACCGTCTGAGCATGAGTTCAAGGTGTCCTCCCAGGGCTGCCAACCAGGCCGGGCCCAGGTCTGCTCCCTCTCACTCTGTGTCTTTGCTCAGTCTTCCTCCACTGCTTGTCCCAAGTCCCCCACTAGCCCTCTGAATCCCTTAGCCCTGCCCTCCTTGCCCCCCGACCTAGGTGAGCCGGGAACTGAGGCTGTCTGGGGGCTGCTGCCCTTCTCTGGGGCAGGGGATGGGGCTCCTGGTCCGGGAGTGGCAGCAGCAAAGGCCTGTCATACTGTCCTCAGGTCCTGGAGGCAGGCCCCTGAAGTGCTCTCCCCTGCCCCTGGGAGGGAGGGCAGCTGGACACCACGGCCCCTCTTGGTCACCTGGCACTCGGGCTGCCTGCATTCTTCCCCAGCCATCACCACCCCTGGTCTGCTACTCCGGGTGGAGCGTTCTTTGCAGGTCTGGCCCTTGTGCCCAGAGGTGGCCTTTCTGCGGCAAACACCTGGGCTCCATTTTTCCAGGTGGTTGCCAAAAGGGAAGCAGGACCCTTGGTCTTTCCATTTGGCTGTCACTGTGGGGGGTACGGAGACGCCCCTCATGGCCGCCCTGCCTGGGAATGCTGCTGACTCGTCTGATCCCCTGGCAACTCTGAGTGTATGTAGTAAGAGTGAGGATAGCGTGTGCGCACACGCCACACTGATAGCACACATACGTAAGAGTAACAGTAACACGTGCACGCATGTAACTAATAACACAAGAGTAATAATAGCACGTGCACACACGTAACAGTAATAATAACACACACAGAAGAGTAATAATCACACACACGGCCCTAGCTCGGGGCCCGAGTCCTGCTGGCT